TTTTTTTTTCCCGACCACGCAAATCCGGAAGTGTCTGCTCACCCAATCGCTTGCTCGCCTGACGGCGCAACCGCCCGCATTTACAGTTCATTACCTACTGTTTCATGTACAAGTGTATTATTTTTGTTTTTATGATGTTAAAATAAGAATAAATACAATCAAATTTATAAACGACCATTGAAAAAATGCTGTGGATCACACGGCCATACTATAAAATTGGTAATAATACATACACGTAGTAATAATGTCCACCATAAACAAGATTGAACCAAACATGTGAAATCAAATACGGCACTGACACAGGTACAACTAATATGAAATAAAACCATTCTATTTTTGGTGGAGAGCGAAAAATGTCTACTGTAGAGTACGGTATTCGTTGAGTAACTGTGTGTCGGGTGACGGTTGTCATGCACGCATGGTTTGGGTTTAACACGGGTCAAGTTGTAGTTATGTTAAAATCCGTGGCACCTATAACAATTGAAGAATATCTGCAGGAATAGTAAGACTCTGAAAAAAAATTTGATTGATTGTAGATAGAATGACTGTAGTGTACAATTTGTCAAACAAATACAATACTTGCAAATGTAATGTCGGCCAACGCCCATCTTACTTGTCCGAAGTTGTCGAAGCCGACATCAATGGAGATCGCGTTCTTTAACTAGGCGGCTGGCAAGCGGACTAACACGATACATAAACTTGTTGAATTACAATTATGGTTTTTATTATTGCGCCCAATGTCTTGTAATAAAATAAAGGATTCAAATTTTGCAGGGTGTTCCGTTTTTTGCGAACTCTTGGCGAAATACTTTCATGAGCTGTACGTAGTTCACTTACAGCCAAAACAAAGTCAGCTTGGACATTAAGTTGTGAGACGCGACAAAACAAATGCTGCCAGTGATAGATTATGTGAATAAAAGAACAAAATAAACGCAATCAAAGGTGCCGACCACACGCTTTGGAAATAAATAGAACGCGTTGTTAAGAGGAATCACACCTGCATCTCGACGACGGTCATGAGCAGGGTTTGCCGCGTCTTAGAAAAATTTATTATCATAGCGTTGTTGGTAATAGTTGAAAATGATACATCCACGTGAACCTGCTTATATGAGATCGTAGGAGTCTGTTTTCAACAGCCGTATACATCTAACTGCGTCATCAAGTTTCTAGTGGACCACGAGCTCTGTTCCTTGTTTGCACGTTATCATGTTCACACAATCGCAGACATTATTTGTAAGGGTGCCCTTTGAAATGGCACATTTTCTCGATGTTTTAGCGAGTACTCCGCGAGTATATGGCTTGTTCTCACATCAGCATAATTTTCCTCGAGTTCACTCATCGCTTTCCCACATGCACTTCTCGTTCTTTGCTGCTAACTTTTTTTGCACTCTAATATGGTGTTGTTTTTGTCTTTCTAAACATCGAGTTTATTTTTGACATTCAACGAGATCGCTTGAATTTTGAATTTGATGACGGTTCGAATTTATCCACTTTTATAGTGATCAACATTGCGTTCGAGTAGAGTTACTAGTAATTACAAGCCTGATTTACATTTTTCTTGCGGTGTTTTTCGTCAATGTATTAAATATAAGTGCTTTGGAAATAACATAATTATATTGCGCGAGTGAAAGAGTTTGGTGAGACTGTCACAACACGTTTTATTTATTGCCAACGCGCGTGGTCGGCGCCTCTGATTGCGTTTATTTTGTATTTTTGTTTTCAAAATGTATCACTGGCTGCGTTTGTTTTGTTTTCCTCAACAAATTAACTGTTCCGAGATCTCTTTCATTTTTCGTCCGGCTGCTGCCAATCCAATAATTCGTCGCCGCATGTACTCAGACAAGCGATTAATCGTCACAGTCATTATACTAGTAGTTTAAGTCCAATTGATTTGTAGAAATTCAGCTATGCGATATTTATATGTGCAGTTTTGTTTTGCGCACCCAGACACGAGCAAAAGTTAACTAATAGATTTTCTGAACTACAGCATTCGTATTACTTATGCAAATTGCGTTAGGGTCATAGTGTGAGTTGCGTTCGCAAATAACAAAGTGTCAAATTATTTTGAGCGCCGTTCGGAATAAATTTAGTCAAAATCACACACAGAAACACACACACAACACACAAATACTAGTACTCAATACATATCGCGATTGACCAGTCATATAGCTGCTTGAACTACACACAAGGACGTAAATATGTAAATACAGGTCGCAGTTTGACTTGCCTAGCAAACGTTACAATGTGTCAAGTGATTTGAAGGCATCTTTGTTCCAAAACAGAGAAGCAATAGGCGTTGTGTTTTGAATCGTCATTAAAACTTGAATTTATTACGAATAAAAACTTAAGTTTATACATACAATGTACGATCATTGTTACTCCAGCGGTCGGTTGGCAAGCGGACGATGTTTCTGAAGCCAGCCATAGCAGGAAAGAGCGAGCGGGGGAAAAAAAGTGGTTGGTTTCCGGTCGGAAAGCAGCGAGTGGTCTAAAATTAAGCGATAAGCGGTCAGAAAAAAAGCGATAAAAGCGGGAGGTTGGGCGGAATGAGTACTGTATTTATTGAACATTTGCAGCATAGACGGTGACACTTGAATGAACTATGCATACTAGTATACCCGACTTGAATTCGGATTCCAACAAGCTGCCTTGTCACCAGAAATGAATTATTTCACTTTACACAGCTCAAATCAGTAACACATAAACAAAAGATTAGGACTATCTATATTTAATCAACGATTGACAGTTGCTGTCGTTGAATAATCAGTTAAATTAGAATACAATCTGATTAAAATCTGATGCAGTGTATGGGCTTTAATTATTTTGGCTATAAACTTATTTTAATTTAAATTTTTTATTAGTCCCCGTTCGGACGTAGTCCGAAAACAGGGACTTATAATTCGATGTGCGTCCGTCCGGAGTCATATCTCAGAATCCCTTGGACCGATTCTGTTCATTCTTTGCATGTGCCTAGTACTTTATGTGGGACATATGCACATACAGTGGTTTAGCAATTCGATTCAAAATGGCCGACTGGCAGCCATCTTGTTTTTTGAAAATGTTGTATTTTGGACATGCTTTGTCAGTTTTCATTCAAACTTGGTACATAGATTATACATGTTAGAATGCATGTCCATTATGATTTATTTCACAATTGGATCAAAGATGGCCGACTGGCAGCCATCTTGTTTTTTGAAAATGTTGTATTTTGGACATGCTTTGTTAGGATACATGTCCCCGACCGTCTGTGAGTTCCTGAGTCTGTCCGTCCGTGTGTCCGTCTGTCCGTGCGTCAGTCTATCCAACGTCATATTTCAGAATCCTGTGGACCAATTCCGTTCATTCTTTGCATGTGCCTAGTACCTTATGTGGGACATATACACATGCAGTGGTTTAGCGATTCGATTCAAAATGGCCGACTGGCAGCCATCTTGTTTTTTGAAAATGTTGTATTTTGGACATGCTTTGTCAGTTGTCATTCAAGCTTGGTACATACTGTGAAATACTTTATTTTCGCTGGAATTTATTTTCGCTGAAAAGACTTTTTGGGTGTTTTGTATAG